GTGGGGCTAAATGGTGGATCCTGCATGAGAGGAGAGCTTTGTTGATTTCAGAAAGTGGAAGAGAATACTAACCTTCACAACAACCAAAAAAAGACATATACAAGCATAAGGTATATATAGATCTTGGTGGAACTCAGCAGATGATATAATTATTCTGCGTCTGACTACAGTGGCATCCAACCCCTCCCCACTTCCACTAATCACAGAATGGCTGGCAGGTGGGGAATACAGCATATGAACAGTGAATCACGGGGAGCTTTGATCCTTAGAGAAGGTGGAAAAGTATACCAAGCTTTAAAAAGGTAAAGATATTCCCCATTGACAAGGTTGTCAAGTCGTGTCCGACCGTAGAGGGCCATGCTCATCTCCGTTACTAAGCAGAAAAGCCAGCATTGTCAGAGACTACTCTGTGATCGTGTGGCCAGCATGATTGCTCAGAACGCTGTTTACCTTCCCATCGAAGTGGTACCTATTTATCTACTTGCATTTGCATTCTTTTGAACTCCTAGATTGTCAGAAGCTGGGACTAGTGACAGGAGCTCATCCCATCATGCATCACCCAGACCTTGAATTGCCAACCTGCCGATCTTGCAATCAACAGAGCCGGTTGAGCCACTGCATCCCCTTATACGATGTCCAAAAAAGACTTACACAGGCATCACAAGGACTATGTGGAAATATGCCATTAACAGAATACCAGCCACTGATTGTGCTATGCATTTTTTGTGCTGAATGGCTACATTATGCAACCAAATGCACAAATGAGCATACATGCTCAACCAATTCTCTAGGGGAACTTACACATTTGTGAGAGGCCAATAGGATTCTGTCCTGCATCTTATCATGGGTTTTTCTCTGTTTCCCATGGCAAATTTGAGTGCTACCTTTCATTGTTTCAGGGCATCATCCCCCCCCCCCAAAGAGAAGGTTTGAGCCTTCTTTATCTCCAATAAGGAGGGGGAGAAAAACCCAATTTGTATAGGCATGTTTCAACTTTGATATTGTTGTGATGAAGCAAGGCAAGAAGACGAGACAATTGAAAGATAAAATATTTTTGGCCTTGCTGATTAATGGATAAAATGTTTTCCCCATATATTACATACCAAGATGTAAGGCATATCTTGATAAAGAGGTTCTGGTTGAACTGTTGTTGTGTCTAATCCTTGGAGAAAGCAGAGAGATAACAGTGAAATGGATTCTGGGAGGCCACTTTGATGCCCAAATTAACAGGTTATGTAAGGACAGACTGAAACGGTATAAAATAAATTCAAGGGTGGAGGGAAGCAATTGTAAGGAAATGTTGTGCAGTGTTTTAATGCTTCAACCAACTTCCAGTGCTTCCTTGTAAGTGGTCCCCAACCAAGATCTAAAACCAACCTAATTTGAGAATGGAAGAATTGACCTGCAATTGTTGAGGGAGGTGGTACTGGTTGCAAGTGTTAACAATGAATTACCCTTACACTCAACCCTTAGGTTCAGCTTGGCTTATAGATTCACTCTCCCACCATCTCTTCCCTTGGACCAAGATAAGCCTGTGCTAAAAGCATTCTCAGGTTCTGCATATAAACAACTTTGTTGTTGTTGTTGTTGTTTTGTTGTTGTTAATTGCCTTCAAGTCAACCTCAACTCATGGAGACCCTGTGAATGAGACATTTCCCAGACCCCCTGTTCTCCACTAAGTCTTGTAAATGAATCTATCCATCTGGCTTGCAGTCTTCCTCTCTTTCTACTATCTTCTACCTTTCCTAGCATTATTGGCTTTTCTAATGGGTCATGCCTTCTCATGATATGGCCAAAGTACGAAAGCCTCAGTTTGATCATTTTGGCTTCCAGGGAGAGTTCAGACCTGATCTTTTCAAGGACTCGTTTGTTTGTCTTTTTGGCTGTCCTTGGTATTCTCAGCACTCTTCTCCAGCACCACATTATCTCAAATGCATTGATTTTCTTCTTATCCACTTTCTTCACTATCCAGCTCTCACATCCATATATAGTGATGGGGACTATAATGGCTTAGACAATTCTGACTTTGGTGCTCATTTGTATATCTTTATTTATTTGTTGGTTTCATTTATATCCTGTTTTTCTTCTTACAAGCTCAAGGCAGCATACATGGCTTTAATGCTCCCCACTTTATTCTCACAAAAGAACAAGACTCTGGGGTATACTCAGGCTGAGAGAAAGTGACTAATCCAAGGTCTGCTCACTGAATTTCAGGGCTCAGCAGAGACTTGAGCCTGTATTTCCTAAAACCAATCCAACACTTTTAAATACTGCTCTACATAGTTACTAGCATCCTAGTAGGTGTAGCTGCAGAGGAAACAAAATGAGAACATTGTCAGCCTAGTGAGAACTTTGCTCCCCCAAATGAAATGTTACTTCAATCCCCAAAATTTCTAGCATTGCAGAGAGTGAGACAACGAAAATAATTCACACCTAGAACTCTCTTATTCACTCTGTTCACATTCCCTTGCCTGCCCTTTTCTTTGGGTACCTAAACTCCTAAATGTTCACATAGAGGTTTTACGTTACTACAATACCAGAAACTTGGATACTGAAAGAAAACTTTATTTGGGGGCAACAGAATTCTTATGGGGAGGCAATGGCCTCATTTTACTGCATCTCTGTAAGCTTGTATCAGTAAAGATTCAATAGTCAGTACATGTGATCATCAGGTACGTGAGAAGTTACTTGCTCCTCCACCCATCTGAGATGCTCATTGCAAGTCATCCCATCCACTCCCTCTTCTCTGATCTTGTATTTGTGTTATCTCAGCAAACACATGTTTAGGAATGAGTACTTGCTGAGATAACTGTGCAGTTCCATCTAATGTATTACAGGGAAAAGACAAAACAAGTCAATACATATGGAAGGATGTGGATTCCTTTGATTCCATTTTGCCAGATATGCCTTCTCCTCAAGGTCAAACTGCATGCAACAGACATAAAGTTTTTTTTTTATTCTCTGCAAAGTACACTTTCAATGTGTGGGTCCTCCCCAGACATACCCAAGAATTATGATTCGGGACAACAGCAGCAAAGCATAGTCATCTTTTTCTCTCTCCCCCACCAGGGCAAAAGCAATAAGTCAAACTAGAGATGACATTAATCCTGTCATTATTAGCCTTGTCCCTGTCATAGATATTGGGCAGGCTTCCAGATGTTGTTGGATTGCAGTTCCCAACAGCCATAGCCAAGAGTGTGGAATGCTGGAATTCACAGTTGAAAGGGCCACACAGTTCTCAGAGTACCCCAGATAGAGAAAGAAATAGAGAGGAGATGAAAGGAAAGGAAAGGAGAGAAAGCTGGAGAAGAGAGATGGATGGATGGATGGATGGAGACCAGGAAGCTGGGGGGGCAGGAGGATAAGGACCAGAACCTTAAAATATTAAATTTGGGTCTACAGATCGCAGAACTTCCTAGCCAGCAGGACCACTGGGGGTTGCTGGGAGCTGTAGTTAAAAAAAAAGTAGTATTTTCAAGCTATGATGAGGACTTCAATCCTTTGCCCCACCAGGTTTCAATGCCATGTCAGACTTAGCTCAATGTAATTTAGCTCTTGCAAGAACTCGCAGCTTGGATATGACCTTCTGGTTCGTGAACTAAGGAAGAATGGAGAATAAATTGCTTTTTTTAGTATGGAAATCTGTTATTGGGCCAGGCCTAGGCCTGGGCAAAGTGAAGCAGGGAATGGTGAGCTTGTGGCATCAGTGGTTGTCCCCAGGCTCTAAAACTCCCTTCAGAGAGAGGCTAGGCTGGAAAGTGGGGAAACTGCAAATAAAAAATACTATTTTTTTTTTAACCTGAGAGAACACCTTTCTAGGAATCTCAGTATCTTCCAGTGCAACTCCAGTTTAGAAGTTGACCATAGAATCATGCTCGAGGTCCTACAAATGCCTAGAGAAGTGTTTTCTCTAGGAAACTCTGCGTCTTCCAGCGTGGTCCCAGCAGAGTCGTGCTGGAGGGCCTAGAGATTCCTAAAGAGAACATATTAATCAAACTCGTGACTAATCATATCCGCAAAAGTCAAAGCCACAAATGTGGAGGGCCGACTGTGTCTCACAAAACTACAAATCCCAGAATTCCATAGCACTGAGCCATGGCAATTAAAGCAGTGTCAAATGGCATTATTTCTGCAGTGCTGATGCCACTCTAGGTCGCACATGGAAACAAGCATAGATATGCAATAGTGCATTGCCAATCCACTGGGAAGAAACTCTCATAGAAGTCTGTGGAACCCACTAAGTAAGTATATTCAGGGGTAGCCGTGTTGGCCATGTAGCAAAGTACAAGAACATCCAAACTCCACAAAACAGGGATACTTTTATTGGGCCAGCCAAAATACACAAAATACATGCTGCAAACTTTCGAAGCGCCAGAGCTGGCATCATTTATTTTGCGCACTTTGGTTGGCAGGTAAAGGTATCCCTGTTTTGTGGATTTTGGATGTTACTGTACACCATATAAGGGTGCGTGTTAAAGATGCTCTGCCCTTTAAATACGGAAACTGTCCTTGTAACCCCAGATGCGGGTTCTTCTTCTTCCGATCACATGCATCTACAGTCTCCCCCTCCTCCTCTTTTCGCACCCACCTCCTCCTGCACCAGCAGTTCATCGCCTGATCTTTTTCAACATCCAATTACACTCCAGCTTTTCCTAAGGCAAGGCATCAGAGCCTTCCTCATTGGTCCTGCATGGTCTTCACTGCAGTCAGTCACCATGGCAACAGAGGAGAGATGCTGCCTCTTCCCATCTCCTCTGGTCCTCTTGATTCTCAAAGGATGCTCAGCATCCTTAACCCTTTCATGGTTTGCTGAAGGTTGGTTATTGCTCTGGCGGAAGCGGTTTCTGATTTATTCCTCCAATTCAAGCTCTTTCAACCTGCCTGGAAAAATCACAGACTTCATCTGCCTTCTTTGGCTGCATCTGCACTGCAGAATTAATGCAGTTTGGCTCCATCTTAGGGAATCCTGAGGTTTGTCATTTTGTTGTGGCACCAGATATGCCACGGTACTGTAGTGGTTTGAGCGTTGGACTAGGACTCTGGAGACCAGGGTTTGAATCCCTGCTCAGCCATGGAAAGCCACTGGGTGACCTTGGACAAGTCATGCTCTCTCAGCCTCAGAGGGTGGCAATTGCAAATGCCCTCTGAAGAAACTTGCCAAGAAAACCACATGATACAAAGACCTTAGGGTTGCTGTGAATAGGAAACTACGTGAAGGGACACATCAACATCAACAACAACAACACAGTTAATCTCAAAGGTGCTACAAGATCCCTTTGCATACTCCTAAGCAAAAAAGGTTTGCTCCCTTTCATGCCAAGCTAAATCATGCCAAATAAAAGAGATCATATGTTCTTTTTCTGCATGCCAGAATGTTACAAACAAATGGACGGGTAAATAATATTCTTACCCTTTTTGTAACCTGGATAAAGAGAGTGGAAGGGCTGTTTATCAAACAGGTGCCATCCAAGCCACTTGGCAAAACTTGGCAAGCTGAAAAGAGAAAAGAATAAGGACATTGTTTTTTGTTCTTTTCTAACCCATCTTTCTTCCAGGGAGCTCAATGTGATCTGGATGGGATCCCAGGATGGCCCAGATTCCTACTGTGTCACAAAGTTGTTACACAATGTATCTCCAGGCCAGCTTTCTCCCATTAATATGGGTTATAACTCACATCCTCACTGACCAGTGGCCAAACTAGCTGGGATGGATGGCAGTAATAATCCAAAATATTTGGAGGGCACCTTTTCAGGATGGTTGTTCCATAACAGAGCGTAGAAAAGTTAAATTTTGGACTAGAGCTTCCAGAAGCAACTGTCACTTGGGGGCTCTGGAAGTTGCAGTCCAAAAATTAACTTTTCCGAGATTGACTCCCGACTCGGCCCTAACAAGCTTTTCTCCACTTCATTTTCACCCATTCTCCCTCTTCTCTGTTAGTACTCATAGCATTCAGAAGGCATTGTCTCTTCTTCCCTAGTTTGATCATGGCTTCATCCGTACTGCAGAAATAATCCGGTTTGACACCACTTTAATTGCCATGGCTCAGTGCTATAGAATTCTGGGAACTGTCATTTTGTGAGACATTTAGCCTTCTCTGTCAGAGAGCTCTGCTGCTACAACAAACTACAATTCCTAGAATTCCATAGCATTAAGCCATTAAAGCGGGTTCACATTGGATTATTTCCACAGTGTGGATGCAGCCCATGTTTGGTTTGTTCATTTCCAAGACTGGTTTGTAAAATAAGATACAACGAAATGGATTCAGAAGGTATAGGATCTCTGGTGGGGAAGAAAAGCTTGAAAACTCTTAAGCTGAAAAGCTAAAGACCAGAGACTTGAGTATCTTTTGCAATTGGTTGTGGTCTAAATACCCTAAAAACAGCACATCCCAGCTGATCTTGGAGGCTAATCAATGTCAGCCCTGGTTAGTACTTGGAAGGGAAACTGGCAATGAATATCAGGTTATTCTAGGCTCTATTTCAAAGGAAGGAACTGGCAAAATCAACTCTGAGGAGTTTATCACACAGAAGAAAATTGGAAGTATAAACAGTGATAAAACCATGATTAGCCTGCAACTGCGCAAATGGTTTTCACACACAAAGTGTGATTAACCTGCACTTGGGTGCAATTGCGCAAATGGTTTTCACACGCCGTTGAGACAAAACGTGATTAAAGTGCCATTATCCCATGAAGAACCAGGCAAGAAACAACAGTAACTCATTCACGGATTTTCCCGTGAATTACTTTTTGCTCTTTCTTGCCTGGTTATTTCCTGGTTCTTCACGGGATAATGGTACTTGCATTAATATCGTTTTAAGCACCTTTTAATGTCAATTGCACAATTTCCACAGGTTAATCATTGCTTAAACTCCCAGTTTCCCCCATATGATAAACTCGTATATTTTTTGTGGGTTTTTCAGGCTGTGAGGCTGTGTTCTAGAAGAATGTATTCCTGACGTTTCGCCTGCATCTGTGGCTGGCATCTTCAGAGAAGCCTTCGACTTCACATTAAACTCCTATGTCTTCCTTGTCTAAGAAAGCACTTATGGGGTTGCCATAAATCAAGAGGCAACTTGAAGGCACACATTCACACACCCTTGTGCTGCTGATATGGTATACTACTAGATCTGGGCCTGAAATTTGAATCCAGGTTTTACCAAACACGCCTCTTATTAAATCAAGATAATCCAGTCCTCCACTCAATATTTTTCTGCATTCTTTATAAATTGATCCTTCCTTTCACCATATCTAAAAGCTTCATCCCTCCCTCCCTCTCACTCTTTTTTGCAAAAGTCAATGCAACAAATTTTCCACTGATTGCAGCCAGTCCATGGTATCAATATGCTGATCAATAATAACATTGTTGTTTTGCTACTTCAAGTCATTTCCAACTTATGGTGAACCTATCGTGGGGTTTTCTTGGCAAGATTTGTTCAGAGAAGGTTTGCCGTTGCCTTCCTCTGAGGCTGAGAGAGTGTGGCTTGCCCATGTTCATCCCAGTGGGTTTTCTTGGCTGAGTGGAGATTTGAACCTTTGTCTTCCAATGTCCTAGTCCAACACACAAGCCACTACACTACACCACACTGGCTAACAATATTACCTGCCAACATTTGATGAAGTCTGGGATATGTGTGGCCAAGCAACATCAGAGTGTGATCAAGATGGCAAAAGTTATTAATTAGGAAGGAGATGTAAGCTAAGAGAATCTGCAGCAGTTTGCTTTTGCCTGAGCCTATTGGGAGAGGCAAGATAATTGGGTGCTTTTACACTTTGAACTCAATTTGCAGCAATTGAAGTCAGCTGAGGACAAAAAGGGAAAGTAAGGAGAGGAGAGAGAAACTAGGACATTTTGAATGCAGCTGATAAAGAATTTATCAAACTGTCCCTATCAATTGGATGGTATGTCTCTATTCCTGAGGGTCTATGTCTCTATTCCTGATTGTCGGCACTTTCTCCTTAGGTATTGTTGCTGTAGTTCTTGTTTCTCTTGGCCCAGAATTAAAAGGAGCCTATAACTAATATATTTCCAACCCCTTTTAAGAAGACTTTTTCTAATTTCTTTAAATTTCAGTGTCACCTTCCTTTTTCTTAACCAATACCACAGTTCAAATTACATACGTCTTTCCCAATAACTGATTCATCCGTCTCACATACCTCTTCATTTCCAGGCTGCTGCCACACTGCAGAATTAACGCATTTTGACACTGCTTTAACTGCTTTAACTGCCATAACTCCATCTTATGGAATCCTGGGATTTATAGTTTGTCATGGCACTCGAGCTTTCTGACAGAGAAGGTGAAATATCACAAAACTACAAATCCCAGAATTCCATACCATAGAGCCTTTGCAGTTAAAGCAGTGTCAAACTGCATTAACTCTGCAGTGTAGATTTAGCCTCAGTGTCTCGTAATATGTTAATTTCAAAGATCTAGCACTGTCTCTCACAGTTAACAGGGCCTAAGCTGCCTTTAAAGGCTGGAAAAATCACTTTTGGGACTACAGCTGTAAGAATTCCCCTATGCTGATACATAACCTCAAGAGGGAGAAATGCAAGGTATTACACTTAAACAGAAAAAATTAAATGCACAGATATAAGATAGATGACACCTGGCTTGACAACCATACATGGGGAATGGGTCTAAGAGTCTTAATAGACTACAAGCTAAAAATGAGTCAACCATGTGATGCAGCAACTAAAGAACCCAACATGATCATAGGCTGCATCAATAGAGTATAGTGTCTAGATCAAGGGAAGTATTAGTAGCACTCTATTCTGCTTTGGCCATATCTCAACTGGAATATTGTTTCCAGTTCTAGGTACCACAATTCAAGAAGGATGTGGACAAGCTGGAGCGTGTCCAGAGGAGGGCCACCAAAATGGTGGAAGTTTTGGAAACCATGCCTTATGAGGAGCAACTTGGGGAGCTGGGCATGTTAGCCTGGAGAAGACTAGGTTAAGAGATGACAAGACCACCATGTTTAAATATTTGAAGGGATGTCATATTGAGGATGGAGCAAGCTTGTTTTCTGCTGCTCCAGAGATGAGGAGACAGAGCAATGGATTCAAAATACAGGGAAAAGAGATTCCACCTAAACATTGGGAAGAACGTTCCAACAGTAAGAGCAGTTGGACAGTGGAATAGGCTGCCTAGGAGTGTGTAGGAGTCTCCTTCTCTGGAGCCTTTTAAACAGAGGCTGGATGGCCATCTGTCAGGGGTACATTGATTGTGTATTCCTGCATGGCAGGGGGTTGGGCTGGATGGCCCTTGGGGTCTCTTCCAACTCTATGATTCTATAATTCACCTTACCTTGCGTGAGGGAGAGAGGAGTGTTATTTGCAGCTCCGTCCCAGGCAGCAAAATGTATCAGGCTCATCATTTAGTTTGCCACTGGAAAACTGTGGATGGTGTAGACCAGGGGTAGGCAACCTTTTTGAGCCGGGGGCCGGGTTGCTGTCCCTCAGACAATTGACGGGCCGAAGCACCAAAAATAAATAAATAAATAAATAAAAATTAAAATTAAAAAAAGAATTAAAAAATTTTAAAAAATGCATGCACACTCTCTCAGCCCCAGAAAAGCCATGGCAAAACCCCTGTGAAGATTTTGCCAAGAAAACCCCAAGAACAAGTAATAACAACAATAATCAATATCATCATGGGGGGGGCGGCAGCGGCGGTGGGGGCGGCGGCGGCAGGACCGGTTTGGGGCCGGTCCAAAGGCCTTGCTGGGCCGCATCCGGCCCCCGGGCCTTAGGTTGCCTACCCCTGGTGTAGACATTTCCACAAGTCCTCTGTAAAAGAAAGGCTTCTGTAGAGAGGGAAGGCACATTTTAAGAAGCTTGTGTAATTTGGTTTCCAAGAAGGAGGGAGAAATGAGAGTAGTGAAGTCGGGCAAGAGCCACAAGGGACTGTCACCACAAATTATTTATCAAGCAGATGGTGCCATTTACCTTCCTAGGCAACATCTTCTACAGAGAAGTTCCGAAATAACCGCATTTTAAAATGTTCCTCCTTTTCCCAGGCAGGTCAATGAGGCTTCTCTTTGCTGGAGAAGCAAAAAAAAAATGGCATTT